AATATATTCATATATATATATATATATACATATATATATATATATATATATATATATATATATATATATATATATATATATATATATATATATTATATATATATATTTATATATATATATATATATATATAAGTATTTTTTTTCATATATAAGGAATGAATAGCTTTGGGATTAATCCTTAATAGAACATCACTTCAGACCTTGTTATAACAAACCATATTTGGAGAAACAAAATAAATATAAAAAAATAAAGTGGAGCCTTAATTCAATGGCATTTTTGACGACTAGAGACATTTATAGTTAATGATTAAAAGAAATTGTTCCTGAACATACATGTTAAAATCCACTTTTTATTTCTTTAATCAGACACCGTTTCCTCATATTTTACACGGAACAAACATTGCAAAACATCGACATCAATATAAGCGTGTTCAACTTGAATGAACCCGGAAGTACAAGGTTGAATGGCGCTAGTCAAGCCTGGGTGAGAACAACGTTATATGAAATATTGGATAAGTTCCATCCACGGACCCTGGATACATGCCCCAACCAGTGTAACAAGACAGACAGTTTTTGTAAGGCTGTTACTTTTGATGACTGGACAAATCTGATAAATCAGTCGAAAATATCCTTCGTCCCTTTACTTGGAGACAAACAGTACATTTATGATTTTGAGAGAGAATTTTTGAGTTACCCGCCTTTGCAAGATAAACGGGAATTACCGGATATGACGTTGTCGAAAGTTTTTCTGCAAGTTGACAAGGACAATGTGAGTCGTTGTATCATTAATGACGTCATTAATGGTCGCGTGGATTTAGTAGATGGATACGGAAATCCAAGAAAAACAGGCGGTGATGAAGTCCGGGTGTGGATTGTGGATACAGAAACTAAGAATTATCGGGCAGCTGGTCAGGTGACTGACATGAAAAACGGAAGTTACCAGATTTCTGTTCGATGTTTGTGGCCAGGTGTGGTAAAGGTAAAGTTTTCTTAAATTTACATCAACTTCCCATCTTATCATTTTGTGTAGAAGCACAAGGACGAATAAAGAAACATGTTTATTTAGTTAAACGGTTACTGTAAAATGTTTATATACATGCACTAAAAGAAAGGAAACATATATTTCCTTTACTTGATTATCCCATGATGCTCCCTTATTTAACCGTATTGGTGACTGCCAAGAAAATTGCAAGAGACAGACTAAAGTGGAGAGAGCTTTCTGTGAGGCGGCCTCATGTTCCTTGGGCACAGAAGGGAAAACGATGATGACGATTTATAACATTATTTATACTTTTACTCAGAGTTTTTGTGGGACCTGGTTTAGTTGGGATTAATCTTTGTATAGACCATGCAATAATGTTAATGGCTTCTGTACTTGCATCAATCGGCTATGATCTTGCAGAAAAGGTCACCGGCCAGGGTGCAAGAGTTCCTAGATTTGTGGTTCTTATCTTTTTTTGGAAATACCAAAACCTCAACAGATTTAAATGCCATTCACTGAGCCCTTCTATCGCATACACTGACAAAATTCGATTACGATTCATATGAGTGGGGTGTGTATCTTGACCACGGCCGAACCCCTGAGACTGTCTCACCGAATCCGTGGGGTTCGATGGAAACCAGGTTAAGAACCACTCTCCTAGATTAATTTAAAAGACCACGTGTTCGTGATCTTGGGAGCCATCTAGATCAGGGGTCTCCAAACTACGGCCCGCGGGCCTCACGCGGCCCGCGATGTCCTCTCATCCGGCCCGCGGAGATCCTTTTGTCCACGGAAAAAAACGTTTGTTGCTGATGGCTGAGGAACTTTGCCCAGAAAAATCAAAGACATGCCTGGAAGGAACTGGCCCCCGAACTGAAATTTGATAGTTAATGCGGCCCTCGGACTGAAAAGTTTGGAGACCCCTGATCTAGATGGAGGCATTAGACTGTGGTTAAACATAGAGAGGGGTGGGCGCAGCTATGCGACAATTAGCACTAGACATACCACTCTGTGGTGCCCCAAAGACACAAGCAAAGGTTAGGGGATGATTTAGATTTTAGAGCTGGACTACTATAGCGACTCGCTCTTTAAATAATCCCGAGGGTAGTTCTAGACCATAAGTTATAACCCGACTTGTGAGCTGGAATGTTTATGTTGTGTTACTGTCTCTCCAAACAATGTTACATGGAATGCTTATGTTGTGTTACTGTCTCTCCAAAAAATGTTACATGAAATGTTTTTGTTGTGTTACTGTCTCTTCAAACAATGTTACATGAAATGTTTTTGTTGTGTTACTGTCTCTTCAAACAATGTTGCATGAAATGTTTTTGTTGTGTTACTGTCTCTCCAAAAAATGTTACATGGATTGTTTATGTTGTGTTACTGTCTCTTTAAACAATGTTACATGAAATGTTTTTGTTGTGTTACTGTCTCTCCAAAAAATGTTACATAGAATGTTTAGTTGTGTTACTGTCTCTTCAAACAATGTTACATGAAATGTTTTTGTTGTGTTACTGTCTCTCCAAAAAATGTTACATGGAATGTTTATGTTGTGTTACTTACTCTTCAAACGATTTTACATGGAATGTTTATGTTGCGTTACTTTCTCTTCAAACAATGTTACATCTAGACCATCTAACGTTTGTTTACAGGTGTATGTTGCTGTTGCCTACCCACGGGAATACCTGAGGGTCACAATGCTGCAGAGAAGAGTAGGTAACTCACGGCTGATCGCAGGAAAATTTATGAACAATGAAACAGAAGAGGTATATTTCCTAACGTAAAGTAATTCTAACAAATCCTAGGTTATTTTGAAGGATATGTTACCTGTAAAGGAACTACTATATATTCACAGAAAGTAATATGTGTAGATAATTGAATGTTGATTTAAATTGCCATTTGTTACTGAGTGAAATTGTTATTCTCTTAATTACAAAAAAACCTTCGAATTGTAATTATTTTATTATTTTCTATAACAATGCTACTGACAAGCACATTACCACCTATATGTCGTAACAGGTGACTGTATGCTGGGGCCAGCCAGACGTACCAGGTAGACCGTGTCTCTGTAACCTCACATCCACCAACAGACATCCTTTTTACTGTGGCCGTCCTCTGGATAAAAGGTCGGTCATTTTATTTATTATCCAAATCATGTATGGAGTGGTTGACATTTTATATAACCCATTCAGTGCAAGGGTTGCTATGTTAAGTTATAAGCATTGATTGAAGCTTCAAAGCAATGACTGTAAACATGAACTTGTATTCCCTTTATATTTAATATAGTAAATTAGCTATTTGCCATTTAATATTGTTGGATAAAATTATTTCCTATACGTCATACATTTAGTTTTCCATGTCCAGTAGCCGAATAAATAAATGAGTAAATTTAGTTGCCTGTAGTTACCAATTACAAAATACAATAGTCAAATTAAAATTCTGCACCAATTATACGCAACGGTTTGGTCAAAGAGTACGGGGTAGCAGTTGGAGAAGGAACGAATGAAATTTCATATATATATGTTTATATAAGAGCGCACGACAAAAGAGCGCCGACATAAGAGCGCAGACAAATGAGCGCCGACATAAGAGCGCCGACATAAGAGCGCAGACAAAAGAGCGCCGACGTAAGAGCGCCATACAAACAACTCAGTCGGGGATTCCAACAAACGCTAGATTGCAATCATCCTTCCGTTTTTAAATTGATCAACCAGTTTCGTCTGGAACAAGATCACATCGAAATCGAACAGGAACGTCATCTAGCTGGAGTTAATCAACCAGAAGCTTCAAAGAACAAATATGTTCAGCTGAACCAAAGATTGCAGGGGATTGCTTAAACCTATGCTATGTTAATGATTCAATGATGGACTAACTACGAGGTATAGCCCACAACTTAGCAATATTGATGCAACTATAAAGAAACGTTTTATTAATGTGAACTTATTTCAATTTTGTTACATTTCATTTCAGTTTATATTCTCACTTTAGGCCTAACATTTAAAACCTTTGTATGTGTTATTAGATTGCGTTTTGAATAATTGGACTTCACGTTGATTATACCAGTTTTTTATTCAAAGAAACTGAAAATTTAGTTTTTTAATGAAACAACAAAGCGTTAACATTATTAAATATGGTTTTTCGATCTCTAGTTTGCGCTCTTATGTCGGCGCTCTTTTGTCGTGCGCTCTTTTGACGGGGTGCCATATATATATATATATATATATATATATATATATATATATATATATATATATGAAATTTCATATATATATTTAATTATACGCAACGGTTTGGTCAAAGAGTACGGGGTAGCAGTTGGGGAAGGAACGAATGAAATTTCATATATATATATATATATATATATATATATATATATATATATATATATATATATATATATATATATATATATATATATATATATATATATATATATATATATATATATATATACATATATATATATATATATATATCAATTTATTTTATTATTTTTATTTTCCTCAACCTATGATCTATAGGTTGAGTTGTGACAACTTCAAGGCCACAATGTCTTTATCTAAGATTCAGCCATCCAATGTAACCCTGGAAGAAATTGCTTTAATCAAATCTGTAGCAGTTCGGTAATTTAATGACATGTTCCAGTTTTCGATTTCTTATAAAAAAAATTAAGACTCACACATATACCAACAATTCTAAAACAGATATATATATATATATATTTATATATATATATATATATATATATATATATATATATATATATATATATATATATATATATATATATATATAGGCCTACATAGGTATAAATATTTACCTTGAAAACAAAGATATAACCAACATAACAGGTAAAAGCTTAATTTAATATTAAGTAAAAAAAAGCAAAAAAAAAAAAAAAAAAAACCATGAAAATTAAATTATTACATAGCCTATATTCACTGTCTGAGAAAATATTTTTATTTTATTTTGCTCTCTTAACAGCTTCCTACAAACATACACACAAAAAATACTTATAACAATTTATATTTGTTGTTAATAAATATACAGAAAATCTGTTTGAACTTTATAATTACTATAATGTTTTATTCCTCTTTTCTATCCTTTCCTAAACAGTGACATAAAAGTGAATGCTCTACGAGTTAATATCAAAATACTTGTTAACAACAAAGGTAAACAGATTTTATCTAAGTAATGTCAACATTTTCTACACACATCTGTATTTAAAGCAGTAATTAAATACACAAGCATTTTTATCAAACACATGTAACATGCACAGCGTTAATTTACTATGCGACGGCACGATGTTTAGTTAATAACAATGCTAGTTTCGTTTTCAATGTCCAAGTTTCATCTACTTACATATAAGTATAATGCTATCGTGGCGTTGAGGAAGGGGGTAGTGACTTTACTGCAAGACCGAAAGACAATGTACATTGGATACAATTCGTTGTTCAGCCATTAAAATTTGCTACACTCCTCCCATTTCGCCAAAGGTTGACGCTAAATCCTATTGTTATTTTATTTACATTCCTTGTGCTGAAAACACTAGAGTTCATCTAGTTGATTAAAAAAACCTTTTTAGAGTATCTGACCATCATGTCTCTCTCACAGTAAATGACGGACGTACACAACACCGCTTACACGGTACACATTTATGGGACACTGAAGGGACATGACTATGATATTTAAAATACAAGGGACGTAACACAAACTCACAAGGCAAAACGCAACTCTTGTAACTGCAATCTGTTACAAAACACCTGGTATTGTGCAATCATAATTAAAAATTCAAAACGCATGAGCAGAATATTCTAAAGGGTTTCTTTAACATGATTTAAGATTTGACGGTTAGTCTTGTTCGGTTGTTCGATCTCCAAACTATTAATCCTCTTTTATTTGTGTAGGTAAAATATGTTTGTTTTCTTAATTAAATTTGTAGCTTATCAAGGTACATAAATCTTACAAAATCATAATGTCATAAGTACGATCGAGTATACTTATATTGGAAATTATATTTGATGTTTTCAGGCTCATTGCCCCAACTTCCACCCTGTTATAAGACGAGCCCATCAGCTACCTGGGAAATGACCAAACCAAAAGGCTACTGGTCACCTGGAGGAGTCTGGACATCTCTGGTCTGTGACCATTCCTACCTAACCCCAGGTCTGGCACTAGACTGTCTACGTGACACTAGTATTTGGGTGTTCGGGGATTCCAATAGTCTTCGTCTGTATTGGCCGCTTCAAGGCTGGACACAGTGCAGCACCACGGGGAATGGAGCATGGCCGCAGAAAGAGGTGTGCAAAAACAAAGTGAACAATATCACCTTGACATTCACCCCACACGAATACCCGCTTTATCTCGGTCCTACTTGGACGAACAAACTTCCGTACGACGGTGTAGTCCAACATATAGACGCCATGCCATCAAATGGTAAAATCATTGTCATATTCCATTACTATCTTCACGTTTTGACGTCCCATTTGAGTTTTGCCGAGCTACGTCTTCGATCTGTAACTGCAGCCTGCAAGCGACTTTTGGACAGAAACCCTGATGCAACAATAGCTTTCCGTGGTCCACACGTTGCTTCACTAGATTGCGAAATAAATCACACAATAAGTGGAGACAGCCTGGGAACATTTTATTTTAAAATTATTTTAAATGTATTTAAAGATTTAATGAACAGAATAATTTTTCTAGACGGTTGGGACATGACAATAGCTTTGGAAAACGCATATTTTCATCCAACAGATAACGTCCCAAAATTTCATATCAATTTTTTATTGTCGTTTATGTGTAACACCACTGGGTATTTTAGACGAAGATAGGATTTTAAATATCTTACTGTACCAAACAGGAATCTGTTACTAGAAAATCCTTGTAAATGTTTGTTTTATATAGTAGTGGCAATATGAATAATCTAATGGTACAGTGAAGGTGTCTTTTTCTTTGTTATCTTTTGATAATTGATCAACATAATGTTTAGACTCAGTGAAGGACAATCTATGGTTACCTATTCTGCTTTGAAAACTAAACCAGCGAAATCTAATTTTAGAGTATACTTTTTAGCCTGTAATCTAAAAGACTTAAGGTTAGAGATTTATAAAGAAAATGTATACTTGCTTTCATTGTTTCTTTCAACTAGATTTCGTATACATGCAAGAATTATAAAAACAAATACTACCCATTGCACTATAGCACAAAAAGAGAAATAAAATAAATTGACAGTATTGACATTTTTCTTCCTTTGTTCTTACTCTTAAGCGGAATGTTAAATGAAACTTACGTTGCTTTCTGCGCTTTTATAGTGAAAAAAAGGGATCGGTTTTGTCACAGACTGTATTATTATGTATCTTTATTATATTGTGTTTTGCATGAATGAAGAGTACCTGGCTAGCGGAAGGACTGTCTGAGCGATCGTCATGTGTTTTTCCGTGTTTTGGGTGAGATCGCTCATTGACGTAAGGGGAGAGAAAGTGGTGAATAAAAGAGAGAGCGAAAGGTGAACGGGTGTTGTGTGCTAGGACTTGGGACTTGAACTGTGTCAGTGAATGTAAGATGTCTCCATGACTTGGAGTCGTGACTGTGACTGTACTTGTTGAGTATCTTCTAATATGGATTTACCATGAATAACCATGGATTTATCATTCTCACTGTATATAGTGTAAATAAAGTCATCATTTGAAGTTGCCACTATTGCTTGTATTCCTGTGTGAAAACTAACCCACAACAACAAAGAATTCATGTTGTTACAGGTTTATTCCATGTAATTTCTTTTGGCAGTTCCAACGTTTAGAAACAAATTTTATTTCGATGCCATTTAAGGAGAAGGCGTGTACACATAACCCTCAGGCATCCATTTGTCTGTAACATGTAGCTTTGTTTGTCAGTCTTGAAACTGATTACTTGCTCTGAGGGCAGTTTATGGGTTTTGTCTCAATCAATTTCCTTGAACGGCATCAAATTTAATTTTATTTGCAAACTTCAGTGTGTTGTGTACACATGGATATGACGTCAGATAGGTTTCAAGTAGGGCTACAACCAAGTGACATAACTCATCATAGGTGTGGAGAAGGTTGTGAGCACTAGTTTGTGGATAGGTAACCATCCAATAGATAACAGGTCGTATCAATCAAGCAATCAATCAACCAATCAAACAATCGGTCAATCAATCAAACAAACAAACGTACAAACAAGCAAATAAAGAAACACACAAACAAACGAACAAACGTACAAACAAACAAAATCAAACAATCAAACAAACAAACAAATAAACAAACCCGAGGGGGAGAATGGTTGGGGAACCACAGATGAGATTTTCATTATTCTTTGCCATGTTTCTCTGTCTTTTACTTCAGTCCAGTCCATTTCTTTATGTCCCTCCATCAAAGTTCTGCATTTATTATTTAAAGTTTTATTAATTTTTGCGCACTGAAAATATTCGAAAATACATTCACCCTACTCGCACCAATAAAGTGCGCTTATTTCATGTCAGCATTGTTTACCAACTATTACTTCCGATCTTGTATGTGTTTTAAGAAGTTTCCAGTCACAATTTAAAAGGTATGTAGATTTTCCTATTGAAGACCTTAGTGATAAACGTAGGCTACTTAAGTCACAAAAACAACATTTTTGAGATAAATGAGTTCAAAGATTAAAATTTATTATGAAAAATAAAGTATTTATATTATTAGTTTGTTCGAAAGAGCCACTTAAATAAATTATTCTGTATTACTATTTATAAAAATATTGTTTTCAAATTTTCTGGATTATAAAATTAAAACTAAATTTTGAATTATTTTCCGGCTTGAGTTATTTTAAAATTTATTTTAAAGTCAACTATGATTAAAAAATCTAAAAAAAACATGACAAACACTAAACACGTTTGTTATCCATGTAGCAAATAATGGTCTAACCCAGATCGTCAACTCAGCCCTCTTCATTACAAAATGCTTTTTGGACTCTATAGAGAGTAATTAAAATTAAATATGTAGAAAATTCCGTGCAGTGTTACTAAAATGTAGGACCTAATTATAATAAAAACTTAGAGTTTAGTAAACATTAGTTACTGTAAACCATAGTTTTGTTTTATTGTTGCTATATTAGTAAAGTCGAGTGCACCAAATTAATGATTTAACTTAATTTTAAGTAAAATTGACATAGCGAAACAGAAATAAATAGTATATTTTAATTAGTAGATTGAAATATAAATAATAAAGTCAAGTGTAGTGATGTAGATAAATGTAGATAGATGTTTTTAAAAAGATCTAGATCTAGGCCTTGTAAAAATGATTAGGACAAAAATAAACATGACTAGAGAAACGTTTAATAATAGCAATAATTAGCAAAGGCATTTTAAAATAATTAGTAATACAGAATGACTAAAAAATGTATTTAACATGGAAATTCAATCAATCCAAATTTTAAACATTCTGAATTAAAAATAAAACATGACGCAAAATAAAGTATGGTTTACTGTACTTTCAGTGGTTTTCGGAACAGTGTGACAAACTACGACATTATTTTACTGTTTTTTTACTGCTATACAATTCCGAAATAATAACCGACGCTATAATCGATGCTATTACCAAAGTTTAAAAAATAGTTAAAGACTTTAGAACAAATTCAAATTATTTTAACGTATATATTTTCTTTAATATTTTATTTGACTAAACATATATTTAAAACTTGTTTATTCCTAGTCGTCATATGGCAGATATAAACAAACATGACTTAGGTAGGTCGTACTTATGTTGAAGGACTATTGTGTAGGAAATCACCGAAAATAAACGAAAGTGTTTGTTGTTTAAAAAAAATATTATTACAACAGGGGAAAGCTGTATTTGTTAATAATTAATTCGAAATGTCACGGTACACAATATTAAGATGAAGTGGGGGTGGGGGGTATGGGGCAACTGAGTTAAATAAAAGTAATTTAGAGCGTTTAGTTTAATTAAATGATCCGTATCAAGTCTTGTGGGTGTTTTTTAATGTTTTATTTAACTAAGGGCTATATTCATTAAAAAGGCAGCTACTTAGAGAATAAATAAGAGGATGTTTACTAAGCCAGAAACCAGTTGAAGTAGGCAAATCAAAAAAGTCAATTCTAAAAAGATATATGTAATTACCATAGCAAAATTTGACAGACACTGATAAATTATTTATATTTCATGTCATAGAAGTCGGTAAATTGGTGAAGTATCAAAACCTTTACAAAATATATACTCTTTTTATAAACGTAAATTTTATTTTGAATAGCTGATTTATTTTGAAGACGGCGACATGACCAAAGAAAGAAATCATCTTCTCCGCATGGACAAAATCAACTGTCACGAAAGTGCAAAAGTTATCAACGTCACATATTAATGATCAGGAAACTGGTGTTCATTTCAAAGTCAACAGTCATCGCCGATCAAAGTTATTCTTAGCGTACATACAAACAAAACCTGTATTAATGATGACTAACTCTCAACAGACTGAGGGTTTTTATTGATATTTTCCATGGCCGGCAGTATGCTTGTTTCTTTTGATTATTAGTACAGTTACAAAATGAGCACACACATGCGTTTTATATTATTTTGTAGGTATTTGATTTGTCTTCAATATTACAGAGGGGTTTTATGTGTTAACAGATAGTATCAGTTTCGTAGCCTAAAATCTGACTGTTTAACATGATATAGCATTTACAATTGTTTATGTTTAGAGGCATTAAGACCCATAAAAGATTTTAAAAGAAACTTTTCACTTTTATAAGAACATTTCAGTGATATAATAACGATAAATAGGACTTTGAAATTTTAAATGTGAGGTTAGATTTTTGTTTTAACACTGACATTGTAAAATAGAATATTAATTAAAAAATAAACTTAAGTTTATTAATCTTTATTTTTTTGTTTAAGTTACTTAATAATTCAAATAAATATACAACATTTAACAATCGGTTAAAATGTTTAAACTCGTATCATATAAATACTGTAGGTATTTTACCCTTAAATAATTTCTCTGTAATATTTTGTTAGAGATCTATTGCCTTGAGATCATTTCTCAGTTTTAACGTTTCTTCCGAGAACATTTCTGTTGAGATCATTTGTCATAGAGATATTTTGTCCGGAATACTTTGTTCTTAGATCATTTTACATGGAACTATTTGTGTAAAGGGGCTTATATATATATATATATATATATATACTAGCTGCATCCCGTGCTCCGCCACGGTAAATCTTTTTTAAATGTACCAACTTTGGAACAGAACAAAACAAACAAAAACAACACAAACACAAAAAACACAACCACAACACAACCACAACACAACCACAACACAACCACAACACAACCACAACACAACCACAACACAACCACAACACAACCACAACACAACCACAACACAACCACAACACAACCACAACAAAACTACAACACAACCACAACACAACCACAACCACAACACAACCACAACAAAACTACAACACAACCACAACACAACCACAACTTCAACACAACCACAACACAACCACAACACAACAAAAAAACAACCACAACACAACCACAACACAACCACAACACAACCACAACACAACCACAAACACAAACAAACCACAACCACAACACAACCACAACCACAACACAACCACAACAAAAACACAACCACAACACAGCCACAACGCAACCACAAAACCACCACAACACAACCAAAAATCAACCACAACACAACCACAACACAACCACAACACAACCAAAAAACAACCACAACACAACCAAAAAACAACCACAACACAACACAACCAAAAAAAAACAACACAACCACAACATTAGAATCATCACCAAACAACACGCTTTTTTAGGCGTCCGCGCCCAAAGACAGCCTTTACAACATTAAAAATTTAAGTCACATAAATAGATCCTACTCCATAACTTACAATAAAACAATGCGATGCAAATGAATGTACGGCAAGTGGTGTTTACTTTTATGGTTCTAAGAAAACACATTGGCAATGTAATTAGAATTACCACCGAAAAACACGCTTTTCCCAGGCGTCCGCGCCTAGAGAGAGTCTTTCCAGCATTCTCTATTATCTATACTATAATTATAAAATTTCACCATCTGTTAACACCAAAAAACAAAAACAAAAAATAGTGATTTTGAGAAATCATAGACTAATTAGAAAATAGTATAAATAATCTTAACATTTTTCTCTTTTAATTATGAACCTTAACATAGACTAATCAATGCGGTAGTAATAAAAAAAAAAGATTAACTTAAATTATTGTTGAGTTAAATATATTTTCAAATTACCTCCCTTGAAAAAATTACCACAAAAAAAAGTTGAATTAATTAGTTTTTTCGACCTACTTTTATGGAAATGTATCCACTTTTTCTGGGAACCTAAACGAAAATGATATTTGACATTAATCTTTTTAATACGTTTTTGCAGTTTGCGTGTATTTAATATTTTCTTGACGTTATGCGAAAGAGTAAAAACCGTGGCAATTATAAAATAGCTCTATGCCGCTATATAAACAAACCCTACTCTATTACTTATAATAAGACACTGCGGTGCACTGAAAAGCACAGCATGGTGCGAATGTTTACTTTTATGGTTCCAAAAGCTATAGCGATGACAGAAGGAAGGAAGGACTGACACACGCTCAGCCCGCTTATATTATAGATATATATATATATATATATATATATATATATATATATATATATATATATATATATGTATATAAATATTTATATATATATATATATATATATGTGTGTGTCAATATTAATTATTAATTGTATTAACTGAAATATGTATTACATGTTGCAGCTCTACAATGAACACACCAGAAATCTGTACAGAAATCATTAAATGCCTAAAGAATATATGGGCTGATCAATTATTGTTGGACTTTACAATCAAGATACAAGATGACACAATCACATGTCATAAGCTCGTTCTTGCGGCCTGCTCTGAATTTTTCCAAGCATTGTTTCGATCAGGAATGAGGGAGGTCACAGAAAACTGCGTTGTGTTAAAAGATGTTTCCTATGAAATATTTCAGTTGATTCTGAAAACACTTTACACAGGTGTCAATGTTTTAACGTTGGATAATTTCATTCACGTTTGGAGGGCTGTGCACATGTTGCAGATCAACTTTATGGTACAAATGTGTGAAGGATTTGCTATAGCATCTGTTAAAATTGATAATTGGGAAAACATATACACAGTAGCAAAACATTTAGGCTCAACTACTGTGCTTGATAATCTTCATAGGTTCATGCTAAGAAACTTTGATCAAATAAGTCTTTCAGCAACATATCTACAACTGTCTTTCAATGAAGTTAGGGATTTGGTAAAAAGTCAGGATCTTTGTGTCAGTAGCGAGGATTTGGTGTTAGAATCAGTAATTCACTGGGCTGATATTGCTACTGAGTGTAATACCGAATCACGCATCAACAAAAGAAAAAACATAATTGATGTTGGCAAAAACGGTTGTGGACTGAGAAAGGTATATTCTGATATCTCGATTAATAATGCAATGATTGAATGTTTTTCAAGGAAAAATCAGCTGATAGAACTCGTGAGTTTAGTGAGGACGTATCTTGTTAGTCCATCTGTTTTATCACGCGTCTATCAACACGAATTGTGTTCTGAAAATAAAAACGTAAGGGACATAATCGTCAGTGCTTTATTGTACCATGCCCAACTTACAAAAGACGGCCAGTGGCCATCTGCGGCTATAAACAGATCCTGTAGTATCTATACACACGTCGGGGTCTATGTAAAAGATTCCAGACATTTTAGAGCAATACGTGCAAGCGATGAGACTTGGTTCGACTTGCCAAGTTTTAGTGATTTAAAAGACTGTGTTCAGCTGGTCACGTGGGACGGGGAGCTGTATGCAACAGGGAAACCACTGAACCGTCCAAACGAAAATTGTGTCTTGTTTGTGTTTTCCGAAAATAGCTGGAGAAAAGTTTGCAATCTTCCTTGTCACAATTTGTTACTACTTTCTCATGGACAATTTATTTACATTCTAAACAAAGACGATAATGTTATATACATCTTTAATCCAAGAAATATGAAATTTAAAAAGTGTACACAGTTTGTACCACAGGCTGACGTTAAGCACGCAACCGTTTTTGCAAACTTCCTTCTACTTTTTTGTACTGAAACTCACAACCGGGTTGAAGGCACAGCTGTTCATCAATTTGATCTTTCGTCTAATGTTTGGACCAAGCTGGACCCTCTGGATGGACCAGCAGAGCAGTTAATCAGTTTCAAGAACGACAAACACAGCTACATATTACAGACGAATGGCAGTTTATGGGTTATGTCGCAACCGATTCCCTTGAACGGCATCGATTTTAAATGTATTTGTAAACTTTGGAACTGCGACAAGAAATTACACGGAGCATTGACCTACAACGACAAGCTGATTATTTTTGGAAATGATCCGTTGAACGATCCCAAAGGAGCTAATAAATTAGTCACAGTTCCTGGACACGTTGGAAAAATCAAACACTGGGGCCATGCATTTAAAAGTTCTAATTTTGTTCCAGTGACTCTTTTGAAAACATCGTAAAGAAATGTCCAGAACAAGATGCACATAAGTTTAAAATAGGCTTTATAAACCATAAAAATATAGTGCAATCACACATATAAGAATACATTTATATTTGGTTTTATGTATAGCTTTTTATAGCATTTATCTTTAAAAATTATATAAATTGTTTTACACTTGATAAAATAAATGTCTTTAAAATACCAAACAATTTTTGCTGCAAGGGTTGAAAAGAGATTATTTTATTGATATGTTCTGAATCTCACTGCAGCTATACGAGATCGAAAGTATACAAAAATCGATTGGATAGTTCTATTAAAATTTGGAACATTTTAAACATTTTAGGTAAACCAGCACAATATCTTATTAGATACGAATATTCTATATTACAATGGAAAATTGTTTACAATTTTTTGAAGTCGTCTTGTGCGAGTATTGAAAATATAGTTTTTAAAATGTATAATTCCATAATGTTTCTTAACGATTAAACTTAAGAAAATAAAAAGAAAAACATCCAATCTTGATGGTTTGTAAAAAAGTATATTTTAAATTATCCATGATATACGTTTACTTTACATATTAATCGTATATACCATTTTTTTTCTCTAAATTTGTATTTACCCGTTTTAATAATTTTTTTGAGATTAAATCTTGTTATGGGTAGTAACAATAACTAATATTTTTTTATATATAAAAAAACTATATGTATAAAACAAATATTATTAGTTTGTATTTTATCAACATGTTTTGTTAAAAATAAAGCACAATTTTCTTTTTAAAAGGTTTGATATAATTTGTTTTTAACTTCTGTCGTGCTTAATGCTTTTATCGTCTGTCATGCGTCAAATCTGGAGAGCCAAATTTAGACCACTTTTAATGGATCAATTTCTTTCAAACTTAGAACAAGAGCTAAGATTCGATACAACTGCAATTTGATTATTATTTTATTTAATTGGATGCTAAATTAATTTTTAAAAATTTAATTAACTTTCCGATTATAGGTAATATTTTCCGCGCGATTTTACGCACATAGATAGAGTTCACTTGGTTTTAGTCATGCAATGCTACTGTATCAAATATTTTAAAGTATTAAGCAAATTTTTAAAAAAGTTTTAATAAAGTTTTCTATATATTTAAACACTAAAAAGTAGAAAATAAATTATTTTTCAAAAGTAATAATAACGCAACGCTATTTAAATACTTATAAAGAAAATTGTCAATACCCCCAATCATGGAGCTCGTTCTTTCACGGCCCCCAACGAAATATAATATATATATATATATATATATTAAAAATGTATAATTCATGCAGATGTAGGCCTTTTTCAACCAGTATCTGCTTCGTACAGCAAAACGTACCCCCCCCCCTCTAAACTTTTAAATGCCTTAAATTTTAGTTTACAAATTGGAATTTAAAATAATATGTTATACACACAACAACCCAATTCGCCAACACACATATAAAATGTTCACTATAGTTTAACATGTGTGCGAGAATACAGCCGTTAAAATTGAAATCAATCCACCATACAAAAGCACAATGACGTGTGTCTGTCCGTCCTTTTATCACACCAATGAAATCGTGTACTTTCAGATGGGTTTCAGAGAACATTGCCACTACAGATAGGCGATCACTCTCAAACCAACAAAAACAAAACTACAGCCATCCTAATAACCACGTTTGAGTGATACAATCTATCTGTTCTTTGTTAAGGATTGAACTAGATCGACGTCTAGCATCTACAACACAATTATCATACACGGTTAAAACCTGGACCCGATGACCGTTCTATTATACCCACTATAGGGACGTAAGTGGGTTGAAAACGCAAGCTTTTAATTTCTTTCTTAACTGTTGTACACACATGATGAGCGAACACACAATTTTCATGTAAGTAAACGTCTTTACAATTTAGGTAACTGGTTTTCAGTTAGCAGTGTGAAAAAAAATAACAATGACCAATAGTTTATACTTGTTTCACCGGGATTTAAAATACCCGCGAACATCAGGAATTTACTGGAACTCAATACTATCGGCTCAAATTTACAACCCAACCACACCATTACAATGTAACTTAAATCTGATCAATACGCGTAAATCATAACTCTATTCCAAGACGGTAGATCTTACTTCTAGAATTATCTTATGCCAAGATTATAAAGCAGCACATACAAATAGACCATTGTAGATCCTATATCTATTTCCTTTACCTTACATTAAATCCATTCTTACAGACATTAATCAAGTCACAAACATAAGAGCTCACTGTTAGATTTCATTAAATCCAACCCTACAAACATTAATCAAGTCACAAACATAAGAGCTCACTGTTAGATTTCATTAAATTCAAACATACAAACATTAATCAAGTCACACACATAAGAGTTCACTGTTAGATTTCATTAAATCCAACCCTACAGAAATGCGCACTAATTAAACAGTATTTAATTTTTAAAATTTAGATTAATTTTCAAAGAATAAATTAATCATCTAATTAGGTAACATTTTATGTCACAATACAGTGTCTTCAAGTTTTGACCTACATGTAAAGTTTAAAATAATTCATTCCGGTGGAAGTGTTTGAAATTGCACTCGCAATTTTCCAACAATGACGGACGACAGACAGAGGAATGAAGTTAGAAATAAATGTATGTGTTTTTTTGAGAAATCTGAAATAGGATAATTACTACTTACGGTCACCGAAAATTACTCACCACTTGTCAAAAACAAATAATTAGATAGGCCTATTCTCCATATATTTGAAATTTCATCTAACTTAAACAGTACTCATGTTATAGGATTTGAAAAACCCAAACCAGAATAAGTTACCACAAATCGCTGAAAACATAATACAGAACTACAAATCTGATATAAAACTTAAATAATAAAATTTTGTCAACCTAACTTTAACAGTATTGAAGTTATCGTTTTAACAGACAGTCAAACACACAGGGGCAGACTTTTAAAGGCCAGTTTTTCCCACTCGATGACTCGTAAAACGCAAAAATTTTGATAAATATGGATTTATTATTTTTGCCCGATTAAAATAAGTTCCCTTATATTCAGTATATGATGAAATATCGAGGTGTAAAAATTTCATGTGAATTTTGTGAACGATTACTATACTTCCTCTATAGGCTACTCTGTATACGAGAAAGTAAAAAGAAACTTTTTAATAACAAACTGTTACATAATCATGCACTAAAAAAGAATAAATGATTTTCTTAAAAGCTAAATAACCAAAATGAAAAGCGTGAGTCGTTTACTAAATTTTAAGAAAGGTATTCAATACATATAATAGCGACCCATGCTTTAAAAGTTAAAATTTTAACGCATCTAACTTTTGCGCACTTGAACAGTTAAAAACTGATGAAATATAATTATGTTCGCGCACCATAGAATGCGCTTACTCAATGCCTTTGTTTACCAACTTTACGATCTAAGAAATTTTATAGCAATTTTTTTCAAGATTAAATAACGTGTGTGAAATATATTTAACAGAGAGGAAGTATAGTATAGTGATTAAACAAGCAGAACTTTAAATTTTGTATACTATGTAATGTAGAGGGACATTTCTTTGAAAACTTCCTATAATGTTGTAAGGGTTTGGTTGCAGAGCAAATCATATATCCGAGTTCTCTTCATAAGTCTGGGATTTCTAACTATTTTAAATTCACTTTTATTTTTTTTTGTATAGCGTAATGTTACGGATATAATTAGGTTTAGTATGCACGGTTAGAGTTGTAGTTAGGTTTTCTATAGCAATTTAAGTGTTTAGTTAAGATTGATATGACTTTAAGTTAAAGTTCTAGTTATAGCGCGTATATGAATTTAAATATAGGTTAAGATTTAAGAAAATATATAAGCTTAAATTAGAAGTGATTAACTCATAGCTGAGGTTTAGCGTTAAATAAGCAATATTTTATTTTAAAGTTCATTTCATTAAAAAACACTCTGTTTATGCGTACATTTCTAGCTAGATATGGGCTTATGTATTCAGATTTTCTTTTAAGTAATATTTAATTTGTTTTCACGTTTAAGTTTTGCTACATTTGGTAGTGTATAATTACTTAATTTTAGGCAAGGTTATAGAAAAGGTGTTAATGTATGTTTATTATTTTTTCGAAAAATACAGTTATTTGTGTGTGTGTATTCAAAAGGTGTATTATTAAAAATCTATTTCAGATTACTCTACATAATGGGCACACCCAAAATCTGTACAGAAATCATTAAATGCTTAAGAAACGTATGGACTGATCAAATATTGTTGGACTTTACAATCAAGATAAACGATGACACAATCACATGTCATAAGCTCGTTCTTGCGGCCTGCTCTGAATTTTTCCAAGCGTTGTTTCGATCAGGAATGAGGGAGGTCACAGAAAACTGCGTTGAGTTAAATGATGTTTCCTATGAAATATTTCAGTTGATTCTGAAAACACTTTACACAGGTGTCAATGTTTTAACGTTGGATAATTTCATTCACGTTTGGAGGGCTGTGCACATGTTGCAGATCAACTTTATGGTGAAAATGTGTGAAAGATTTGCAGCTTGCTCTATTACAATGGACAACTGGGAAAACTTGTATGTAACAGCTAAACTTTTAGGTTCAACTTTTGTTCTAGATAAGCTTCATAGCTTCATGTTACAAAACTTTGATCAAATAAGTCTTTCGGCAACATATCTACAACTGCCTTTCAACGAAGTTCGGGAATTAATAAAAAGCCAGGATCTTTGTGTCAGTAGTGAAGATATTGTGTTAGAATCTGTGATAAGATGGGTTGACTGCTATGCTCCAAATAATACTAACACAGATATTCAAAACACAAACAAAATAGTCGACACAGAAAAAGATTGCAATGAATTGGAAAAAGTACCTTCTGGTAACTCGCTTAATGTTGCATTAACCGAGCATGTATCTAGAAAAGATAAGCTGACAGATTTAATGAGTCTGGTGAGGATATATCTTGTTAATCCTGTGATTTTAACACGATTTTATCATCTTAAAATGTGTTCTGAAAACAAAGACTTTAGAGATATAATCGTCAGCGCTTTATCGTACCAAGCCCAACCTTCAAGAGACGGCCAGTGGCCATCGGCGGCTGTGCATAGATCATGTAGTAGATATACAAATGTTGGGGTTTATGTGAAACGTTACGGACAGTTTAGAGCAATCAGCGCCTGTGATGAGAAGTGGCATGATTTGCCGAATTGTGTTGATTTAAAAGAAAGCATCCAGCTGGTCAGCTTTGATGGCGAACTTTACGCTACAGGGAAACGATTCAACTTGCCAACCAAAAATTGTAAACTCTTTGTCTTCTCTGAAAACAGCTGGAAAGAAGTTTTGAATCTGCCCGGCCACAATTTGTTACTTGTTTCTTATGGACAATTTATTTACATTTTAGACAAAGCCGAAAATTTTATATATAACATAAATCCAAAAAACATGAATCTAAAAAAGATGACAAAGATCCCGGCGGATATTGATGTAAAGCACATTATTAGTTTTGAAAACACCCTGCTATTGTTTTCCTCACTAGTTCATAACGCCAATGACAAAACAGTTGTTCATTGTTACGAAATTTCGTCTGACGCATGTACCGAGCTAACTCACCTGGATGGGCCAGCGGAACAACTGATCAGCTTCAAGAACGACAAACACAGCTACATATTACAGACGAATGGCTCATTGTGGGTTATTTTACTCGCATCATCCCTAAAAGGCATCGAGATAAAATTTATTTCAAAACTTTGGAGCTGCAACAAGAAATTGTACGGAGCATTGACCTACAACGACAAGCTGATTATTTTTGGAAATGATCCAAATAACGATTCGTCGGAAGCGAAAAAATTAGTCACCGTTTCTGGACATTTAGCCCACATTTCACACTGGGGGCACGAGGAAGCATGTTCTAATTTTGTTCCAGTTACACTTCCAAAAATAGCGTTACTTAGTAAACCCTGACACGCTTCTTAACTTGAATAGATATTTTTTGATAGATTGTCTTACAATAACAAAGCAGTTTATTTGCATTTACTAGCAGATTTTGTTTTCTAAATATTTTAAATTTATTTTATAAACATTCAGAATTTGTTTACAACTGACTAATTTCGCAAAAAAATTAGAAAGCAATTTTGTAACGTTGCTAGAGTAAATCTCAATGCAATGATATCAAATTTACATTATTTAGCTCTGAAGTTCTTAAAACTTTGGAAGATATATAATTTGTTGAGAGCAAATCTCATGCAATGATATCAAATTTACATTATTTAGCTCTGAAGTTCTTAAAACTTTGGAAGATATATAATTTGTTGAGAGCAAATCTCAAAATCCAATGATATCAAATTTACATTATTTAGCTCTGAAGTTCTTAAAACTTTGGAAGATATATAATTTGTTGAGAGCAAATCTCAATGCAATGATATCAAATTTACATTATTTAGCTCTGAAGTTCTTAAAAGTTTGGAAGATATATAATTTGTTGAGAGCAAATGAATATTTCATATAATGTTTGAACCTATTGAGGTAATTTGGATTGAACAGCATTCAGGAATGAAAGAGATGGTAATATATTAACGATCCAATGGGTATTGATTATTTACTTACACAAACCGCTGCAAGAATCTAAAGCAATTTTTAAATGTTTAATTTCAAAAGATATAACAATCAGACTTCATCTACATATTATATTTTTAGCAACAAGCAAAGTAAAATACCCACGGTGACTCTATGCTGGTTTCATCAATCTTGTTATAACTCTGATCCGCTGTCAAGCCTCGAGTCATTCTTTACCCTCAGTCATTTCCTATAAAACAGAAAAATTGTGCAGTGGTGTATTTAATAAGATTTCACAGTTTTCTTACAATTTATTTTTGCTAACGTTTAAACCCGTATTATAAATCCTATAATTTTGTGCATTTTTTTCAATTATTTTTTTAAAACTTCTATCTTGTGAGACATTACATACATAATGTTTAAAAAACTAACTTAATTAAAATAATTAACTATAGAAACAAATAGCCTTGAATCGTAATGGAAATACAAGTATTTACTTTATAATATCCATTTTTTTCTATATCTCTATAATGAAACTATTTTGTGTTGAGAATCCTATTTTTATTTTTCTTCTGTTTTATACTTGATTACATTTATATCTAAAATCTCTGTTCAGGGAGAGAAAGGATCAAGATTTAATCGATAATCAATAGGTCATAATATGTAATTTTTTTAGTAATTAATAACTATACGTTAATTTTTGGAATTTTGTTTTACAATCATGTTTCGTCGCATTAAAAAAATTCGAAATTGTTAGCTCATTATTAATACTTTATGTGCATTTCAATCAGGCATAAACTACAAAAACACTTAAAACAACGTTGATTAAAAAAAATTGGAAAAGGCATGAAAACAAATCTAAAAGCAATATTTAAATGAGATTTACTTTATTAAAACAAACTAAAAAAACGGGAGTGATCTCCCCTAAACTTTCTAGAATATTTCTATATAACACTGCAGGCGATGTCAACTCGGGATATAGACAATATTTTAAATCCAATTTCAATTACTTAAACTTTTAAAATATAATACAATCTCGTAGAAAAAAGAATTGCGCACCAAGTGAACTCCAAACAGTATGTGTATAATATTGCGCAATATTATTATTAATTTATAAAGTGACATGCGGTTTTTTTTTCAGAAATCGGAAATAGCGTAAATTATTACTTCTTGTCACCGGAAATTACTCAAAATTTTACAGAAGGCAGAGAAGTAGATCTTTTACTTATATGTGACATTTCGTTTCTGAAACAGTACTTAAGTTATAGGCTTTTGAAAGATTGAAAGAAGAATAAGTTCCATTCCCGGTTACCGGAAAGCGCTAAAAACTTGTTACAGAACTACAAATTTGATATAATACTTATATATGAAATTTTATAAACCTAGCTGTAACGGTACTCATGTTATCGTGTTTACAGAAGCACACACACACACAGACATACGGGCAAGAGAGGTATAAAACATCGAGATTTTCGAAAATATCGATATTTTTTTTTGCACGAATGCAATACTTTCTCTAAACTTTGTATACGAGAAAGTAAATAGGCATTGCTGCAAACTAATCATTCGTCAATACTAGCATATCTTTAGTCGGTACAGTCACAACCTAAAGATTGTTTTAACGATAATTCATTGAAGACTTGAACAGTTTTGATAATCTTTGGTCTGGACCTAAATTTTAATGTATAAATGATTAAATTATTTAAGAACCAATATTTGTATTCATTGAAACAATTAATTACATCCTTGTTCAGTTTTAAATTCGATACACAAATGAAAATAATATACACTTGCAGCATAATTAGAGTACCGAAGCAATCAAATCTAAGTAAACATTGTTAGTGGTCATAACTTTAAATCAAAGCACGGCTTTATCATGCATGTACTTAAATCTAGAATATTCACACATGTGAATTCACACGACGATTTCAAACTACAAAAGCGGTAGCCCACAGAAATATCCTTTTACTTGTCAACATTCAACTTATAGATTACATTTTAAAAATCATACTCTTATAGCCTGCATCTATAAGCTAAACACAGAAACAACGTTAAAACAATTCAACTATTAGATAATAGGTGACAAGACAAATGATCTCAGGACAAATAATCTCATACAAAATATCCCAGACAAAATATCTCACGGACAAATTGTCTCAGGACAAATAATCTCATGACAAATGATCTCGCGGACAAAAGATACCAGGAAAAAGCCAAAGGCAAATAAACATCATACCCAGATTCAAACCCTACATCAACCCTATTTTTTTTCTACACAGAGGCGCTAAATCCTAGCCGACACGATAGAATCGTGCCCATATGCCCTAAGCAGTTATTACAATAAATTAAGACATAGATAATGGCTCGGGTTTTTATAAACTCTTTAAACTTTGATAAAATCTGCCCACAGTAAAATGAGCGGTTTTAGGTTATAGTGACGGAGAGTATGTTGATGTTAGTATCGGTGAACGGGGAATAGGGTTATTTTAGTTTAAAGTCATCGTAAAGTGGTGGTGCTGATGAATCTATTGAGGTGAAGTATTTAGGTATTAATTTAAGGACGTGTTATAAAGTCGCCTTGATCGAAAAGCATCAACACACGAGCAATTTTAGAATATAGAAAAACATAGATCTGCCACGGAGCACAAGACACACGCTTCCACGCGATAACAAGTCTAACACTCAACTTAATTAATTCACGCGGCCCAACTTCACCCTAAGGTAACCAACCTCTGCCTTACCCCAGCAGTCCCGCGAGGGGAGGGGGCGCCTAACCTATTCATGCATTAACTCGAACTATTTACGACTGGGACAACTACAAGCTATTCAGATTGTATCTAGTGAGGGGACTTACTGTCAAACACTATAGGCCATTCCTATTACAGCTATTATGATCTATCTAACCTACAATTAAAAAATGTAATAGCATGAACATAAATACAATTAAGAATTAAACGATATTTTATCCCAGTTTCCTACCCTATGCTAACCCCAGTTTTAACACTAAGATATGCATCAGGCAATAGCGCTTTGTGAGGAATGAAGCTGATACAGAGTTGGGAATATGTATTCGTTTTGTCAATAAGTTTGTTCAGAGGCGTAGCGACCCTTCCCGGCGCCCGGGGACAAACTTTTCGATTTGCACCCCCCCCCCTCAAGATTTCGATTTGCACCCCCCCCCTCAAACTTTCGATTTCCACCCTCTCAAACTTTCGATTTGCAACACCATCAACCTTTCAATTTACTTTTCCAACTAAAGTCCTATCGTTGTTAAAGATTTATCAATGTAACTGAAATAAATTCTTGCGCACTGAAAAAGTTTGGAAATGGAAATTTATGTTTTCGCACCAACGAGGTGCGTCTATGGGGTGTCAACATTGTAAACAACCTTTGCTTCAAATCTTGTAGTCTATGAACTAATAATAATTATTTTAAAAAGGTAAGTCGAGTATATTAAGCGCAAAAACAATATGACTGAGCATGTTATAATAATGTAACGTCCTTTACAGATTAGCTGTTGAATTTTGTGTTTATTTTTAAACGTTTTCCGCAAAAGTGACACATTTAGACTACATAGGATTCTAGTTTAAGTCTTATTGGCTTGGCATTTATAATATCTGCTTGATTTTGTGTAAAGATTAATATTAAATATAAATTTACCCGTAAGCTAAACATTATAACTTAATCATCTTTGTCTTTGATGCCTTATGTATGGTTATAATTTTATACTATTTAGATTGGATATTATTCTTATTTATATATATGTAAATATATTTTGAAATTAAAGATTTTTATTGCTTCGTTCAGTAGTTAAAGTCCTAGTTGTGTGCAATGTAGCCTACAATGCGCATGAACAAACAAGCATTGTTTAATATACTAGGATCCTATGTTAAGTTCAAGACCGATTGAAATACTTTTCTACGGTTTAGGTGGCTCTAGCGAGCCCCAAAAATACCCCTGATACCCGGGCTCTCATTGAGTGGTGTTCTCCCTTACGTTTTCGTAGTGTGATTATTGTACACTCAAGGTTTTCACACAGCTCGTCCGTGGGCGTCTGGGCTGTATTATGGACAAACCCGCGCCCAGACTACTAAGATCAAAGAAACATAGTGCCGGCATTGTTTACATTAAAAAAGAAAAACCATGATCTAAAAATACACTATTGGTAATTCGATAATGAAAACCTTGTGAAATATTTCGTCACTCTGGTTTGTAGGAACAGATTCATTTGAATATATAAAGTCAAGGGGACAAGATACCCATGTTTTCGATAAAATTTTAATTTTGCTCCCCAAAATTTTTATTTCTTAATTCGGTACAAATACATTTTATCTATCTAACCCGAACATTTCGGACTTCTACAGCTTACGGTTATCCGTTTATTACGATGTGAAACATGATACCCCAGGCAAGTTTTCACACTACTACGCGGACAGCGGCTATCTTCGAGCGGGTATTACATCATTTATTGCCCCGGAGGCACCATATATTTTACAGCAATCTAAGGGCCAAGCACTCGTGTACCCGCTGGTACCTTTTCGTGTACCTTTCCTTTTGTTCTAAAAATAAATGGAATAGAAGTTGTTTTCTACAAAGTAATATTTTATATCAAACTCCTTATAAGGGCATGCGCGTAAAAATTATGAATGGGAAGAGATTCATTGATACTCTTGACCAATCATATTATAGTACAGTAAATCAAAATAATTCACGATAGGTTGCAACTAACCATGTGTGATAGGCGGCCATCTTGTTTCTAGATAAACACAACAATCGCCTGTCTTTGTTTGTTTACTTTATTTGCATATACTCTTCTATTTATTGTTTTAAAGTTATACAACAACATTAAGTTTTAAAATAGAAACTTTGCCTAGAAATGTACTGTTGATTATCACTGGAAAACTATTAAACACTGTTTCGTACGCTTTATACTAAGCTGAAACAATGCGTCATGGACATGTCTATCAGTTTGAAGAATGTACTGTCCATTCCCTTCACCCCCCCCCCCCCCCCCCCTCATCCCTTTCCCTCCATTCAACCAACAGCCGTTTTATAATCTTGCTACGGCATGCTGTGATAGGCTTGAATGCGTTCATCAGGCTTTACACCGGACTGTATACGACACATGTGTTAATGTGTATACCAATCTCTCCGTATAAGGTGCGCTAGCAACGAATGTAAGTACTATTTGGGATAGCTGATAAGCATTCACTTAGGCCCTGAACTTGACCCTATCTACACAGATATGTTATTCGCGGTTGAATTATCATTAGTAATCAATGGCTCATCGGTTCTTCACGCACTATCCAGCAGTGGGGTGGGGTGGAGGGGCGATTGTAGGAAAAAAAAAGTCACAGGAAAAAAAACACAGGAAAAAAAGTCACAGGAAAAAAGTCACAAACATATATTTGCATAGAATTAGTCAATACTTTTATTATTATTGAATTATATATTCAGAAAGTGCAAATTAAAAATTAAAATTAGGATTAATTAAATGTAATGTAATGTGTGTAGGTTGTATACGCATGGTAATTTTTATAATTCATCTAAAAAAAATTCGTATGAAGTATGAATATTGTATTTATGTTAAACATAATATTAATAGCATTTAATTGAATATTCCAACATCCTCGGTTTTATCGTGTTTTTTTTTAAATACTAACATTAAATTACCGTGAAACGGCAAGTTCATCTAACTTGCTGCCCTCAACTCATCGCAACAATAGTTCAACCACCTTTACTGCCCACATTTATCACGCTCATTACATAACAAAGCATAGGATCCAAAACAGAAAGCCGACAAGGTTCAAAGGATGTCATTGACACAAAACGTCAACAACAATGTTCGGACAAAGGCAGACTAGAGAGAGGCGGACCAGAGAATACCCTAAGGCAAAAGATATGCAAAACACAATGATGTGCCTAAATTTCGATTATAATTAACTTTTCTACCGCGTATTTAACTAAATACTTAACTAAAGTTGAGATTGTAAATTATCTTAGAGTATTATTTAGTTACAATTGTTATAAACGACAGTGCTTTTAAAGTCTATAAATAATATATGCTATCAAAAATTACAACGCATAACAATAAACATACAGAATTTTACAATTTTCAACAAATAAATCAAAATATTTCTGAAAAGATTTTTGTGACTTTTTTCTGTGACTTTATTTCTGTGACTTTTTCCTAGCAAAAACTGGGACTTTTTTTCTGTGTTTTTTTTCCTGTGTCTTTTTTTTCCGTTCACCGGAGGGGCGTGTCTAGCCTCAAGCGTTGTACCGAGTGTTGTGTAGCAGGCTATTATCATAAGGCAATAAACTTGTGTTAGCTACAGTTTAAAAGACATTGTATTTAAGTGAGAAGACCAGCTAACAAACAAAACTTGAGCTGGTTTGGTGATAGCTGTTCTGAGAAAACCGCTCGATTGATAGTATGTATAATACTTAATAGTCATAAATTCATTACATATTTTCTGCTTACATAGAAAAATCTATCTAAATCTTACAACATAAATCAAAGCGTATTTCATTAGTCAAATGGTTCTTCCACATATGACAAGACGTCTTTTTCTGTTGTCTATAAGAGAAAACGCACAGTGCCTTTTTCCGCTCTTCTTTTCACGTCTTCTCAACTTTGCATTTTTACGCAAAATTCAACATTCAAATCGCTAAGGCTTTGGAACCCTTTGTCATACAAAACTAAAACATTCCACGTGCATTCAGCATTATACCATCTACAAAAAGAGATTTGTACATTAAGTTTATTGCGATACTTTAGGAAATATTGATATTAATGTAGAACCACCCCCTAATTTTTGCACATAAATTTACGTAAAAATTTGTATTAAAAAATTGAGTACGAGCTATCGCAATGAGTAAACGTACAAATGTATAGTTTGGTTTGCGAAATTGAAATCTTTCATCCGCTTTTAAAAATCTTTTATGGGAACAAAGTTATAGCGCTTTGAAAAGGTGTTAATTTTCACACTTTTTCGCGGTTTCCATGACAACCAGTACTGCTATTGACGGCTATATATTATTTTTGTCTATAGTTTAACAACTATATACATATGAACTTATTAAACACCCAGAAATGTGTTAAATTAAAAAAAAATTCTATCCGTGGTGCCTATCTTTAAGTGAAATCATTTTACATAAGATACTTATCTACGCACAATTGGTGCGTAGATGACGTCACTTGTACTTCGCGAGTTTAGTACAACTTAAAGTATTGCTCTATTCTACTCATTCAGAATAAATTATATAATATTGTATTATATTCTACTCTGTTCTACTGTATTATACTATATTCTACTACGACATTTCAGCTATATTCAATTCCGCTCGTACATATTATATATATATATATATATATATACATATATATATATATATATATATATATATATATATATATATATATATATATATATATATATATATATATATATATATATATATATATATATAATTTTGAAGCATGTTTTTTAATATACTTTACAGATATCCATTAAACATGAACACACTTGAAATACGTTCTGAGATTGTGAAATGCCTGGGGATCATGTGGACAGACAAAATGTTTCTCGACTTTACAATCAAGATACAAAATGACACAATCACATGTCATAAGTTCGTTCTTGCTGCCTGCTCTGAATTTTTCCAAGCGTTGTTTCGATCAGGAATGAGGGAGGTCACAGAAAACAGCGTTGTGTTAAAAGATGTTTCCTATGAAATATTTCAGTTGATTCTGAAAACACTTTACACAGGTGTCAATGTTTTAACGTTGGATAATTTCATTCACGTTTGGAGGGCTGTGCACATGTTGCAGATTAGTTTTATGGTAAAAATGTGTGAAAGTTTTGCAGCTAAGTCTATTACAATGGAGAACTGGGAAAACATTTACGTAACATCTAAACTTTTTGGCTCAACTACTGTCCTAGATAAGTTTCATAGCTTCATGTTAAGGAACTTTGATCAAATAAGTCTTTCATCTACATATCTACAACTGACTTCCAATGAAGTTCGTAATTTGATAAAAAGCCAGGATCTTTGTGTCAGTAGTGAAGATATTGTGTTAGAATCAGTGATACGATGGGTTGACTGCTATGCTCCAAATAATGCTAACACAGATATTACAAACACATACATGAAAGTCGACATAGAAACAGATGGTATTGAATTGGAAAAAGTACCTTCAAATAACTCGCTGAATGTTGCATTAACCGAGCATGTATCTAGAAAAGATGAGCTGGCAGATTTATTAAGTCTGGTAAGGACATATCTAGTGAGTCCAGAGGTGTTAACTCGAGTTTATCAACTTAAAATGTGTTCTGAAAACAAAGACTCTAGAGATATAATTGTCAGCGCTTTGTCGTACCAAGCCCAATCTTCAAGAGACGGCCAGTGGCCATCAGCGGCTGTGCACAGATCTTGTAGTAGCTTTACACACGTTGGGGTTTATGCAAGAAAAGATGGACAGTTTAGAGCAATACGTGCTAGCGATAATACTTGGTTCGACTTACCAACTTGTGATGGTTTAAAAGACAGTATTCAGCTAGTTACGTTTGACTCAGACTTATACGCAATAGGAAAACCTCTTAACATGCCAAACACGCAATATAATTTATTTGTCTTTTCTGGAAACGGCTGGAGAAAAGTTTTTAATCTGCCTGGTAACAATTTGTTACTTGTTTCTCATAGGCAGTTTATTTACATTTTAGACAAAAGTGATAATGTAATATATCTTATAAATCCAAGAAGTTTGGATTTTAAAAAATTCATGAAAATTCCATCTCAGTTAGATGTAAAGCACGCAACTAGCTTTGAAAGCTCCATTCTTATTTTCTCCTCTGAAACTCAAAACAACATTGAGAATACAGTTGTTTACAATTACGAGTTTCCGTCAGCCGTTTGTACCAAGCTAACCGATTTGGATGGACCAGCAGACCAGCTGACCACTTTCAAGAACGACAAACACAGCTACATATTACAGACAAATGGCTCTCTGTGGGTTATTTTGAATGCATCGTCATTAAAAAGAATTGAGATAAAATTTGTTTCTAAACTATGGAATTGCCAAAGAAAACAATACGGTGCTTTAACCTACAATGAGAAGTTGATTATTTTCGGAAATGCCACTGAGAGAGATCCGCCAGATGCAAATAGAAAATACACTGTTCCAGGACATCTTAAATGTATTTCATACTGGGGACATGATAATGCTTTGTCGAATTTCGTTCCAGCTACACTTCCAAAGACATCTTTACTTAGGTAACTGTAAAGCTGTGTCTATCAAATAAGATAGATATTTGGTTGATTTTATTTAACCATGAAAATACAGTTCTAAAGCTTATAAACGGAGAACACTTATTTGTTTCTTTTTTATAGCATTTATTTTGTGATGTTTTAAAATACTTTTTAAGCAAACATACTTTCTTTAAAATGAGAAAAGAACGTTGCTAATGTTGTAGAGTTTCCCACTCATTCAATGACTTTAAAGTCAATAGTTTTATCAGAAACGCATAAAGAGTTATAAACTTTGAGTTATATGACCAGTTATAGCTATTTTGATGAACCAGCACAATAGCTTTTTCTATTAGGAATAACGAAGATTTTTATCTTTAAAGACCAACGAGAAACGGCAACGTGTTGATAGTCGCATCTTGTGCATTGTAGTTGTATTTTAAAATGTGCTAACTCAAAATCGTTTTATATTTCGCTTTGTGTTTTAACAAATTTATTATTTTATAAAAAAACTCCCAATAAAGATCTATTAAAGACAAAATTCATTAAAACATTTCCTGACAAAGTTTAACCAAATAAACATTTTGAGGCTTAATATTTATAGTATTTTAACTGTAATTTAATGACCGTTACTAGGGTTAGGGTTAGAGTTACGTCAACCATACAATACCTGTGATCCTTCGTCAGATTTGGAGCAGCCTTGTATCTTCGATTATTTCAATCCATTTCCGAACAATGTGTAGCGTTTACAGGATATATTAAATTGGGGATTTCATTTTTTCATACAATTTATTTGCATATACTAATTAAGATATTTCATAATTTATACTATTTATTTGCATATACACTAGTACGAATTTAATGTATAAATGGCATGATGTCTTTTAAAATACTATTATTCCTTTTTTATTAACATTACAAAAGTGACAAGTTTTCAGATTATGACAGCACACAAACAAGATACTTATTGATTAAAAACTAGCTTGATTTATAAGGGAGTGAATGGGAGGTGTGAAAATGCTAATGTAGTCAAAGATTGTCAAATGTTTTTTTTTTTTTAATTACCCTTTGTATATGCTTGTTTACACAATAATAAAATACCAATTGATTGTTTTGAGCATCTAGTTTTTCTTTTAAAATTGTATTCATTTATTTTAAAATCCCAATTTAGATGGAATAGTTTGAAACTTGGTCAGCACAAGTTGTATCATCAAATACAGCAGCCCAAGTTATCAATACTTAGACTAAATGTTCTTCCAATGCTATGAACACATATGTAAGAAAACAATGGGTGTTAAGCTTTGATAATCATAACAAAATAATTAGCGGAGTTTCAAAATCGCTGTAAATCTGCATTTGAAAATAAAAAAATACAAACACGTGTAACACATATGGTTACCAGCCAAGGGGGATAAAAATATGAATTTTTAATTCATGGAGTTGCGGCCCCTGTGGGGCTGTGGCCCTGTGGACGTAGTTGTTTTTTTATGCTTTTGTGAGCGATGTTACCTGTGTTCCATGTCATGTGACATGGGACTGTGGGTAGTTTCATGCCTAGCCGTGTCAGTCACACACAAGGCTGCTGTCTGTGGACACGGTGACCAAGATGTAGACCTAATGAAAGTAGTTATATAAATTATGTTTGTTAAAATACTTATTTGTGTATTCCTGCTAGTGCTGCATGTGCACACTAGTTAGGGTGAGTATTAATATAAGTATTTATTTGTAGTACTACTTATTGGTACTTGTTGGCAGTACTGTGTACTGGCCAAAACATTTTTTTTATACCCGTGTATATTGTAGCCTACACATGGTGTTGTCAGGAATGTAACTTTTTTATTTACATTTGTTTTAGGGCTACAGTTTTTGGTTTTGGTTTTTCTTCTTGGCTAGTTTGCTTTGTACTACTGTGTTGCATCGCCGTCATGGCTCGATGCTGTAAATAAAGCGAGTACTTGACAACAACTGTCGGTGTCGGTGTGTACTTAATCTCAGGGTCAGCCCGTCTTAACCACAACACATCAGTGGGTAAAAGCATCCCCACTGAGTGAGGGTTACACACGTTTATAAAGCAAACTTTTTTATATGTGCACATAGAAGATAATTTATTTCTTATAATATAAAAATATACAACTGTTAGGAATGTATATTAGATCTATTATTATAGTAGAAGGTGGCGTAATCAATTATGTACGTTTAGAGTAACGTCCCTTTTGTTTATGCGTATAAGCGTTGTGTCTTGTATGAAACGTAAATAATGTAGCCTACACTTCTGTAGCATGTTAGCTATTAGAAGGTGAGTGACATTTATTTAAGTTAGGACTTAGAGATTAGGGGTATATAAAGACAGAGATAGGTTAGAAGGTCAGTCATCATATTGTTGTCGCTTGGTTATCGTAGTGACCTAATAGTTATTGTAGTTCAAGTATTGTTATCTCCAGTCCATCGTTCTGCTATAGCTATTGCAGGCATCCATTCATAGTCAACTGTGGTAGATACAAACTGTTTGCAAATATCACTTAAGAATCAAGTCAAATCGAAGGATTTTGTGTTTCAAGTGAAACTACTTTATCTTGTGTCGTCGGCCCTGTACCAGCATCTCACATAGCAACAACCACTAGCATCCAGACATATCACTGAGGAGAAGATACTAACAATGTATTTCATACATTACCTGGCCAATGCGCGCAATGGCCATTAACCCCTGGCCATTGTCCGAAGAATTTAAACTTATCAACGGCTTTAGTACTTTGGCTGGCCAATGCGAGCATTGGTCGTTATACCCTGGTCATTGTCCGTCGAAGACTACAGTGTGAATGAGTGTTAATAAATCTGGCATGTTTTTCATTGTGAGAACTGTATTGCTTTACGCGTGTTTGTAAAGCATTCTTTATGCAAATAAGACATGGATCAAACTGGCGTAAAACAAAGAGGCAGACTGCCAAAGAAAAAATATCTACGTTTGTTTTGTTTTTTAAACAATAGCAAAGTATGGATTACTCATGTATGTGATAGTCTCCGTGTGATAGATTCCTTCCAACACAATTAAGTAGGCCTATACGCGTGTCAACGCCGTATAGGACGTTGACTTCCATTTAAGTCTACTTTACTTTTTGGAATTGCCTCCAACTAAGAACAAAATACAAGGCAGCAGTTGTTTGATTTTGAAGGAACGAAATCTATGACAGTCGGATTCAACGTCAACGCGACACAAGATTGAAGTTTGAAACGACATTGTGCCAGTGGATGATTGTAGTGAAAGATGAGTTTTCATATTTAGAATTAGCTTGAGTTACAGGATAAGCCTTAGCTTAAAGTGAAAGCCAAATGTGGATATTAGCGTTGGTTTAAGTTTCAGTTAAATAATAATCTGCCAGAACTTCAATGCTACACTGTCTATCACTTTGCCGAGGCCATGCCATATAAAGTTAGAAGAACCGGCTTTGATGAAATCTGTTATTGCCTGGAAATTAAACCATTTTTTTTTCTAATTACATATAAGAGGACAATTATGCTTAAACTCGTATTCAAGTTATGTCATTATGTACTTATATGTATATGTATATATATATATATATATATATATATATATATATATATATATATATATATATATATATATATATATATATATATATATATATATATATATATATATATATATACATATATATAAATATACATATATATATATACATATATATATATATATATATATATATATATATATATATATATATATATATATATATATATATATATAATTTACACCTACTTGTGCTGTGTAGTGAACAAATGCAGGCGGATGTATGGTGGTGAATGTTGTTTGTACTTTGTACCCTCTCCCCGTTCTTCCATGTTCAATCCTCGTGCTCTGAGTTATGACAACCGTTTTGTTCCTGTTTTCTGTAAGGGTATATATAAGGTGTGTTAGAACATATGTGATTGCCTCAATTTCGTTTAGATTTCATCCAGAATCAGTGTAGGTTTCTTTGTAATTTTAGCAATTGTTTCTTAGTTTTCGTACTCGCATTTGCATTTAGTGTTTGAATGGACACCGTTAGTGAGGATGCGGACCGCACCGTGTGATACAAATTAGGGGAGTTCCACCAGGGCAAAAACAGATAAATATATATAGAACAACGGTCATGCCAGTTAAAAAGATGATTAATTAGAGTTAAAAAGTCTTTTTTAAAAGCAAAATTGACAAATCCCTTTATGTAATGGGGGGGGGGGGGGGTGACACCATGATACAAAGCTGCAAACGTTATAGAAAACAATACTCAATCGAGCTGTATATATAACCGACTATATATGAAGATCGTTAGTATGATCTGGACACTGTTTATAGCTGTCATCGGTGAAGGCGGGGGGGGGGGATGACACCAACTAAAATATGCCTGCGGAAATAAAAGCTTCTTGAGAATTGTAATAACTGACACGTCACTCTACGTCTGGGGCGAGGGTAGGGAGGGTGACACCGTTAGGTTGCCGCACCGGGTGACAACCGACCTAGCAACGCCACTGAGTGTATCTGGTATTAAATAAAGTAAGTTTTGAAGAGCCCTTATTTCCTTCTGCTATGTTTTGTAACCCGTTACTGGTTGTTTAGTATTATAAGTAGCGTGAATATAATTGTTTGATAATCCCTCGTATGCGAAATGTTTTTCATAAGAATCTTTACCATCTCAATACTCTGTATACGAGAGAGGAAACGCTATACTGACACATAGTGCATTGTCCGCGTTTGGGAATGGGAAAATTTCATTTTTAGTGGGAGTGGGATGGGGGAGGAGTGTTATAGTGTAAGTGAGGTAATATATGCATGTGTATATGTTTGCCGGCGTATCATTATTTAATTAATAGAACACTGATAAATTTGACTGCACACCATCTTTTGCGCAATACAAATGTTAAGAAATAAAACCTATTTTCTCGCACCAATAAACATTGTTTACTAACTTTTGCTTTCGACCATGCATGTTTTGAATCTACGACATTAGAAATTGTTTATAGATCTAAATCTAAATATTACAGAACGTATGTAAAATCTATTACACACAAAAACATTATCAGTGCACGGATTAAATAAGTATAATGTGTTTCATTTAGAATTAGTGTATAAATCTTGTTAAGTGCTTATTGCAAAAAAGCACATCTATAAAGATCAAATAACTAATGTTTAAACTTTAGACTTCTCTTAACTATAATTTGAGTAAAGCTTAATATTTAATTTAGATTTAGTATTAGGTGGTCGGTAATTTCTGTAATTATAATTATTT